TGATGGAAAGGTAGAATGGATGGGTAATACGGATAAATTGAGCATGAACGGAAATAGGATTCGATGTAGCTAAATTTCGTTGTGACTTCTACTGATGACTGTATGAAATACTTTTTTGGATATAACAAATATCAGCCAAACCAATTGGATCGGTTCCTCACACCGTTGTTAGTAATTCATTAATATGCTATCTCTATTTCACAAACCATTATACTAAGACAATCTAATACAATCCAGTGGATAAAATGATAGCACATATTCAATCCATCACAACCTAATGAAAAGCATGTGTTTCATATATTTATATTTTTAGATCACTATATCATACTTTGTCATTTCATTCTAGCTTTTCTGTTGCGCAACAATTCTTCTATTTATAAACATCGATTGCACGAGCAATTGGTACATGCTAGCTCAACTAATTTGGGTTGTTATGATGGAAAGGAATAAGTCGATTAGAAATTACTTTTCAATGACAAAAGAATGATGGTACTAATATAAAAGCAATTGGAACAAACAGAGTAAGCATTGAATACACGATACATAAAGAGTAGAATTGAGTTGATTCAATGCTAGAATGCCTGCTTGATTCAGGGAACAAGATCAGCAAGAGCAGATGAAACATCTGTGAATAATATCAAATGAATCAAACTCTACTTGTAATTGATTTCGATTTCACATTCTGGAATGCACCAGGGAGTGTGACGTTTATAACATTTGGTATATCTAAATACTATCAAAAATAAAAATATAGAATTACTTTCCAATGTCACGTTTATAGGTGATAAGAAACTAACTCCGTTATGATTAATAATGGATATCAGATTTGGAAGATCTATATTATATATTTTTGAATCATTTCATTATTACTTCGCATTACCACGGTGCATGAATATATGCTTTTTCCAAGAAGTGCATCAGGACCAAGTTGAATGGATTGTAAAGATGGAAGATCTACATCAATCATCTTATTCATATATTTTAAGACTTTCAATCACAGTTGATATAAAATAACGGAATGAAATCAAGCCTAATGTAATGGATTGTAGATTTGGGAGATCTAGTCATCACATACTTAATAAAATATCAATACCTCGAATCACAAAATTACTATAATGGAAATTGGCTGAATGACGGTTAACAGATCCAAATTGGATAAATCGTAATTGTGGTAAATTCTTCAATTCAAAGTCTCCAGAAAAATCACTGAAACTGAATTCACCAATTTGAATGGATTCCAATAATGCACAATTCAATATGTGGAACGATTTCCAGGGAGAATTAAAATAATTTTTCTGCACAAATGAATTGCTTCTGATATTAATAGTCCTCAATCAATTTGATCCATCGATTTTGAATGTTTGCACTGAAAGAAAGCATTTTTCGCCGATTTCAATTGATTCTATCACAGTAAATCGAGAAATATTAAATGTCGTGCAACTACCCTCATTACATGAATATGTTGGGAAATAAAGAGAAGTTATCTCTGCGTCAAGTGATGATAGTTCTCCACAAATTAGTGGTACAATATTATATAGTTGAGCGCTTATATCTATGGATAATGAATAATAATTAAACCATTCTCAAAACTGATTTCGATAGAACTTTCTGAAATGCAAGAGGTAGACTAATATTTTGAAGAATTGGAATATCTTAACACATTCAGTATTCAATAATAAAAGATACTTTCCAATGTTAATGAACGAGGATTAATTAAACTATCTCCTTTAGAATTGATGGATATTAGATTTGTAAGATCTACATTCCATCATTTCATTGTTTTATTATTACTTCGCATTATCAATGAACAAGAAAATTGATCTCTTCCAAGGAGTGCTCTATTGCCTAGTTGAATGGATTGTAATGATGGAAGATCTACACATCAATCATTTTTTTCAAATTCATTCAATACGTTCAATTATTGTCGATAAGGAATCAGAGAATACACGATCACCTAATGTAATGGATTGTAGGTTTGGGAGATCTAATCATTTCATGCTTAACATCATAATATATACCTTGAATTACAAACGAACTATAACAGAAATTAAATGAATAACTTCCAATTGTACCAATTTGAATGGAATGTAATTGTGGTAGATTCTTCAATTCAAATGCTCCAGCAAAATCACTGAAACTATATTCTCCAATTTGAATGGATTCCAATGATTCACAATTCAATATGTGGAATGATTTCGATTTATCATTTCCAGCACTATTTATTTTCTGAGTAAAACATTTGGTTTGAATATTAAGATACTGTAGATTAGAATTATTTTGAACATTGAACGTCTTAACATACATGAAATTTCCATCTTCAATCCAAAGATCTATTAAGTCCGGGAATCTTGCCGTGGAGAATTCCACAAGATCTGGATCGTTGCATGCATTGCTCGTTACATGAATCATTTTCACAGTATCTGGCAATGCATAATAATCATTACAACTCGTAAGTTCAGTCATAGTTATAAATCCATACGAATTATGGAAATATAAGGTATTTGATAACGATCCTTGTAGAGTAATTTCCTGACTCACTCCAAATTCACTTTCGATCGTAAAATAGGAATCTTCGTTCCAACCATTAGTAGCTCCTTCTAAAACTATGTTCAGCAATTGAGGCTTCATGCAGCCAGTAATTGATTCAGTAGCATTTCCAGTGAAAGCCATATTTAAAAATACATCACTTCCTGTACCATAATTGATTGTTAGTGTTTCAAAAGATGAAGGATTTGACCCATATTTTCTGATAATTCTGTAAGCAACAAGCCCATCAGAGCAAGGTGGTAAAGTAACAATAGGTGTAGGAGTTAGTGTAGGTGTAGGTGTAGGTGTAGGTGTAGGTGTAGGTGTAGGTGTAGGTGTAGGCGTGGGTTCTTCAGTGGGAGAAAGTGTAGTGGGAACTGCAGTAGTGGGAACTGCAGTAGTGGGCTTTTCAGATGGCTCTTCCGTGGAAGGAGTTGCACTAGGATAGGTTATTGGAACAAGCGAGATCGCATATCCAGCAATTCCAGCATAGTTTGCATTCGTGTCATTGTTTGTCACAGGAAGATTCAGTACGATGTGCTCACAAGGAACCACATTCAAACCCACCGTCCACTTGTCCGCGTCATATCCTTCCAAGATGCCATACACAGAAGGTTCGTCCGTCGATCCTCTGTAGATAGCATCGCCGATCACATTGTTCACAGTTTGAAGACGGAGCAGATCGAGAGCTATCAGCACAATCACAGGGTTTCCTTCATTGGCAAAGTTCTTCAGTCCACTCTCATTCGGAGCATCATTTCGGATTACCTCGAACTTGTAATTGTTGGTAGTAGCAGAACAGAGTTCATCCTCACCCAAAGAAGAAGCCACGCGCTCTGTCATTAAACCGTTCTCAGCAATGAATAATATGATATCCGAAGTCTTGATCTCGTTAGGCTGGGATTCACTGAACTCTGGAAGGCACTTCAGAACATACTTCAGAGAAAACCTTTCTTCATATCCTGCTTTCGAGAAAGCATATTCTGCAGCATGAACAATGGCACTTGCCCACGAAGTGGAAGTGGAGGTGGAGGTAGAATAGCTTTCAAATCCAGGACACAAGTCAGAAGCAACATAATCACCTCTCCAAGTGGAGTTAGTAATTGTATCAGGCAAATAATAAGATCCCATATGCGAATACTTCTCTCCAATATCCATCATAACTACCAAGTCGTCATCACTGAAGTCGGATAGAATGGAGAAATCCATGGGATAATCTCTGTAAGTAGCCTTGGTCTTAATCTCAATACAGGATTTTTCGAAAGATGCAAAATGCTTCCTATGATTTAAAATAAATAATCAGTGTGGTACGTCTTGTATTCTCCACAGTCAGTTCCGCACTTCGACAGATAATATTTCAGATACTCGTCATAGCCAGAATCGTCGCATGAGTAGCTCGGAGCAGCGTAGATCAGTTGCAAGAGGAACAGAATCAGGGAGATAACACTCATTACTTAGTTTTCTTCAATAATTAATATCATTTCCCATGTAACAAAAAAAGTCCATATTTTAAAAAACGTTAATAGATGTGAAGTCTGTTCTAGTTGGTTCTATTAGAATAAAGTATTTAGCATTTTCAGTGACATCGAATTGTATGTGTATATGTATCTACTTCATTTTTTCGAGTAAAAGTTGATTCAAAGGTAGTTTTGTGATTTTCCCAAATACTTCCAATTTTCACTTTTGATCGCAGGGTGGACTTGGCCAAACATATTACTATTAAACTAACCATTCCTGGCCAACACAGGCTAATCGTGTTTCTATGCATGATTCTGTTAGTTTTCCATATTCACCACAACACACTCTATCCAATTATGTGCAATGTGAATACTAGTTTATCACAACGATAATAGTTTCATCATCCCATTTTAATGCTCTATATATTTGTTATGTGTCAAATATGTCTAAAACAACAAAGTCTAGTGTTAATATCGTAATTTCTTAGATTAGTCCAAGACTATCAACAAACCGTCGAAAACTCTGCTCTGATTCTCTCAACACAGAAAACCAACTCAAAGGACTATTTATGGTATCTTGATGTTGTTTAAGCATTTATTGTCTTATTCATACTAACCTTCGGAACTTGAAATGCAAAATAGTATTTCATTTTTAAAGAATGGTCATTATATGTTGGTTTTAGCATAGGTCAGTAAGATCTATATTAAACACTTTTTGGTGCTATGAAAAGCACAAGCAATCATTCCCATAATATCATTTCACCTAGCTATTCATTGGAACTCATCTTTTGCTGTTGCTTTCTACTATTGGCTTATTCCTCATTTACTGGTTCATAATGATTCTATTTTGCAGTTCCTGAACTCATTACTCCTTTTTCACAAAGTCATCATTTCCTTCAACTTTCATGCGATACACAGCAGTATTAACATTTGACAAAGCACCAATGGTATATGCTTCGTGAGAGTAGCTTCCTCAAGCAAATCTGACTCTTGACAACAACTAGCAAACAAACACACTAATTATGCATATTTAACCTTCTGAGCCTCGATACAATCGATATACTTTTGCATAGCTTCCTCCTTCGACATGCCTACGAACTCACCGAATCAAAACAACAATTCTACCCTTCAAGGCATTCCAAGCATTCCACTTCGCTCTCTCCTATCCATCACTACAAGAAAATCCAACATACAGTCAACGAGAAGATTCCAGGGGCAGGAATGTTGCAATCTCCAATAGTGGCTTGCTTGAATAGAGAGTATCCAGCGAGCTTGTCCTCATTTGACACAGTTTTGGCAGGATGCCACGAACGAACAAACTCAGCGGTTTCGTTAAATTTCTTCTACGAGCTCACTCCGATCTTCAACAAAATACCTCTAATTCAGACATTGGATTCTAGTAGACAGGAAAATAATAATGACAATCAGGTTTTCAACAAACACACAAAGGTTCATACCCCTACTAGTACAATAAAAAGACAAACGCATTCGAAGAAGTCAAACCTTCCGTTTATGCTTCTTCTGCTTCAGCTCCTTCTCCTTTAGCTTCACACTTTCCAAATGCGCTTTCAGTGCTTGCAAGTTCTCCGTATTCATTTTCAAGTAATACGCATCTTCCTCCACCACACGACTTCGTTTCCCATTCCCTTCTCTCGCAATCTTCTCCTCTCTCCCCACAACGCTCCGCTTTCGATTCACAATCCGCGCTTTCGGCGTCGAAATCCGCTTTCCCTCCTCCAAACCCGGCGCACTCCCATTCAATCCCATCGAGTTCATTGCATTCATTGCATTCATTGCATTCATTGAACCCATCGAAGTCATCGGGAGCTTCGAAGCTCGCTCGGGGGCACGAAGTTTTCGATCACTTCCGACCAAGGAATGCTGCAATCAAGCAAATTCGAATCGATTACGGCCGAGAATACACGTACAGATCGTTGTCGAAGCTGCTCAGCGGCTTGCTCACTAGCAATTCTACGCGTTCCAACAAACCCAAACGTCTACGCGATAGCTCGCTCGTGTCTTTTTCGCGCTGTCGAGGCACGCGTCGAATCGAATTCTCGCGCTTTTGAACTTCTTTGGAGCTGAAAGCGCCTTCTATCCAGGAATTGCAAGCCAATCAACCCACGCAGAATCACGCCGAATCGCTTTAAAAACTCCGCCCACAGCTTTCGTTCTTTTCCGCACAGCTTCTCCGCTTCTCTGCGAGCTCGAACTGCCTCCGCTTGCCACTTCCAAAACTTTCCAGAAGCCACAAATTCGAGCTGCGGCGTGTTTTCGCTCAGACCGACGCGCGAAACGGAAGATTTTCGCGATGAATCGAATGGTGAAAAAGAGACAGCCGATCCGATTCCAAGAGAAGAAGAAGAAGAAGAAGAAGATGAAGAAGAAGCGGAGCAAATCGCTGCGATTCTACGAGACTCAATGAAAACGAAGAGAACAAACAGAAGACTTTGCGATGAAGAATCGAGTTCATCGAGCTGCTGCATTGTTAAGGAAGGCGAAACGAGAAGAGTCGAGAGAAACGCAGGGAAGACAAAGCGCGTCTTGCATGAAAAGGAGAAACAGGGAACTACTTTCGATCGATTCACCGATGAAACGCCCATAAGTGGAATGGATTCGAGAAGACTCGCGGTGAATTGAACGATCGGCGCGGAAGTCGACGTCCACTCCGCGCTCTTCTTTCCAATCCACGCATTCAGAAGCTTCTTTGTCCCTTCGGGAAGCGACCGCAGATCGATTTCTGCTTGAGAAGTCGCTGGATTTTCTTCTTTGATGCGAAGAAGCGAGTCGTGGAGAGCGAAATTCGAAGGGTTGACGGAGGGATTTCGCGAAGAAAAGTCGGTCTGCGAACAAGGAAGGAAGACAAAAGAGGGAAGCGAAACTGGAGAAACTGGAGAAACTGGAGAAACTGGAAGAGAGAAAGGGGAATTGGATGTGGAATTGGCCGAAAAAGGCGTGAGAATGCCGAGGAAAAGCAGAACTCTGCAGACGGTCGGCAAGAGAAACCGAGCCAAAACCCGCGGCAAACTCAGCTGCGGACATTCCTTCGATAAATACATTTCAGTGCAGTGGATCAACTCTGATTCGGTGTGAACGCCTGCATCGAATCGCTGCTGTCTGCCCTACCCATACGCGCTACGGTGATCATGGCTTCCACTACGCGCCGATACAGCAAAGGGGTAGCAACAGGCTTCTAGGGTTCACGCAAACACACTCCTCTACGTAAGATTCCATGGAAATAGACTGGGTTTGCAGCGAAGGCAAGGCGTTCTGCGTCGAATTAGAACCATTGGACTTACCTCACCACAATCACTTTGGGAACGAGGAGTTAGAGACTCCGATTTGATGGCAAGTGGCGTTGCAGAGGCAGAGGACAATGGGGTGATCCTGGCCACGGAGGGAGAATAGATAGACATATTGGGTGCTGTATCATTTACACTCAGATCCGACATAAGGGGCGAAGATGCCACACGAACACTCTTCTGTCTTGTCTCGGACCTCGAACGAGAACTTTTACGTTGATCTCGAGAAGGATTGACCAAGGACTGAATTACAGACAAAAAGGAAGAACCCGAAATTGAGTACGAATACGACTGGCGCTTCACAATTTCACTCTGGATTTCACGTAGCAGACACTTCAGAGATTCATACCGACTGGTAAGCTAGAAAATATGAGAATCAGACAAGCAGCAAAAAGCAGTCAAATTACCTGTTGTGGATCCACCTTTTCTACCCAACGGGCAGCATTACAATTGCAATCCCAGTACGCAAATACAAAAAACTAATAGTTCCTAATCGTGTCACATTGCCATAGTCCAATAAACTATTCTATCCATCTCGTCATTTCTATAATAGCAATATCAGCATGTGTATCTATCAGAATAACACCACACAGAAAACCAGGTTTGGATTTGTTGCTTGCAACCCATTTGATTGATTATAAATTGCAATTCCATTTCATTCATCCAGCATTCTCATTCAAATCACATCCAACCAGTGTTAGATTCAATTCGAAACATATTCAGTAGTACAGATAGTCACACTTGGATCGCTCGCACCCAGAGTCTCACCAAGAACCAGCACATTCTCTTCACCTTCACCCTTCAACCAGTCTTTCGGAATGTGATAATATCCCTGAGTGTACTCTCCATTTCCGTCCTTAATCATCCAATAGCGACCAATATTATGTCCATTTGCATAAGCCTGACCTTGATTCATGTCCTCTCCTTGAAATAATGTTTACCGCATCAAGTCTATCCTAAACCATACAATATTACTAAAAAAACAAAGATAGAAAACAATAATTTATAAAAGCAAAAGGAAGGTCCCACCGAGATTTGAACTCGGATTGCAGGATTCAGAGTCCTGAGTGCTAACCATTACACCATGGGACCACACAGGAAGCTTCTGATAGCTATAGATATTGATTGGACTCTCTTTACAATCCATTCCGTTCTATTCTAGAATTCTATTATCTTTGTTATGAAAGCCGAGCCGATTCCTGATACTTGGACATCTGTAACATATTTGGTTTCTTCATGTATGATTGAAACCCACATATTTTCTCTAGGTGCTTCTATCTTTCTGGATTATATATCTATAAATATTGATAATGCGAGTGGATTACCCTACATCTGTAAAGTGTATAAGAAGTACCACGTATTTTCCTATTTTAATGTAGTGATTGGAAAGAACTAAATGACATTGTCATGGGTGATATAGTCTATTCGATCAATGGTTCGGTTCATCGCCCTTTTCTTATTTAGGAACTTATTTTTCGAACACGAGCGATATTGAGCATCAAGACCAGCTTTTGAGAAGTATTTTGAATAACGAAGGAAAACGGTTCGAAGTCAACTTGATTAGTAGAGATCGTTTCATGTTTTGTTAATTTTTGCTTTATCTATTGTAGTGAGAGCGGTATTCCAAGAATTGAGCAAATCATTTTGCCCGATCGTTTTTCTACGATTGAAATTAAGAAGTTTGATCACAGCGATTTCACATACATTTCTTCTATTTCTGCGTATCTCCTCTTTCGTCTCTTTGATTCCTAGTTCCTATTTTTCTGTACTCGCTGGATCTGTGTTACTTGCAGTGAACAACGAAATTGTGATTAACAAAACCTACGACTCGATCGTTTACCTGATACAAAAAGTAACCCTCGATTCCCTTCTTTGTTCATATTAGAACATTCCGCCATTGGTTCTATTAATCGCCTGCCCCTACATGCAGAGCCCCGTGTCTCCCCAAGAAATCCGCGACTACATGAGCAACAACGACATTCTCACCGTGAACTCTTCTTCCTTCCAAAACCACCAAAGCAGCCAGTCCGCTCCTTCGATCCCTCGCGTCCTTCCGGAGTATGGCATCCTTCCCTGCGAAGATCTGAGCGACTCCTTCGAGAACCAGCACAACTACACGCTGCAGCCCTACGCTGTGGATAGCTACATGTTTCCCCAGAGCCAGGGCTACGCGATTTTGGAGAAGCAGTGGATTCAGTAGGGATGGAAGCGAGCGTTCATGCTAGATCCAACGCACAGCGATGGGAGAAGCACACCCTTGCTTGGAAGGAGTTTCTGCAAAATCTTGGCGGCACGGCGAAGCTGAGTTTCAGCTGGTCGCGACAGTCTGGGAAGAAATGGACACAGTCGCTCACGTCGATGAATCGCCAGCGAAACACGCTGCGAATGCTGATGCATGGAGGCGTGCCGAACGAATATCGAGCCGATGTTTGGTATCGGCTGAGCGGCGGAAGCGAGTTGAAGGCTCGTTCTCCGAACTCGTATCAGCAGTTGTATCAGTCGCAACTGGATTCGCGAATTCGAAACCAGATCGACCAGGTTTGCGTGTTTGTTATTATACATGAGCCATCATTCCCTACGCACTCTCTCTTCGCGAAACGTGTGGTGGGAGAAGAGAAAGCGGGAGAGACTCGCCTGGAAGAAGCCCCCTATGTGGCTTCGCTTCGGCGGATTCTGCTGGCGAGCTCGGTGGTTTGCGAAGACTTCACATACTGCCAAGGAATGAATCTGCTGGCTGCCCTTCTGTTGGTCGTGATTCTTGACGAGGAAACAACGTTCTGGACGTTTGTTGGTCTTCTGCAGTATTCATTTCCACCGCATTATTTCGATGAAACGCTGAGCGGAGCGAGGATTGATGCAGTTTTGCTCGATTTGGATGGATGATATGCAGGAACTGTTCTCGGAGTTCGCACGCGAGGAGTTTCCGGAGCTGGTTTCGCGCTTGGAGTCGTTTGATGAGCACATTCTGTCGATTTCTCTTTCATGGTTTATGCATTGGTTCATTCACACGCTGCCGATGATGACGGTGGTGCGCGTCTGGGATGTGATTTTCATCGAGGGAGACAAGGCGCTGATGCGTTTGGCGCTGGCTTTGGTTGCGATCAACCAAGAGAATCTAATTAATGAAATCTGTTTGAGTTTTGAACAAACAAGAACCAGCCACATCACATCACGTTAAACTGGATTAATTCGAAACATATTCAGTAGTACAGATCGTCACACTTGGATCGCTCGCACCCAGAGTCTCACCAAGAACCAGCACATTCTCTTCACCTTCACCCTTCAACCAGTCTTTCGGAATGTGATAATATCCCTGAGTGTATTCTCCATTTCCGTCCTTGATCATCCAATAGCGACCAATATTATGTCCATTCACATAAGCCTGACCTCGGTTCATTCCCTCAGGACGAAGCAACACCTCAATTCCTCGCTTGAGTCCTTGAGGAGTCTTGAACGTGGATCGATACCAAGCCAGATTATCCGCATTCTCAACATCCGACTTCCAAGTTACCGTCTTCATTCCCTCATCCGTGAAAACTTGCTTGGCTTCTCCAACCAATCCCGGATAGTGCTTCCATTCCTGGTTGAAGATGTCGTTACCACAAAGCTTAATCCATCCGCAAATTCCCTTCAGACGAGACGATGCCCAAGAAGGATCGAGATTCGAATCCATTCCATTCGATACTCCCAGGGATTCAGAGAGCAAAACAAGCTTATGCTTTCCCTTTCCACTCTTCATGTTGATGTTCATGGTGTGCCATCCATCGTGGTGCGTGTGCTCATCATCGCTGCCGACGAAATGATCGTCCACATACGCCACAAAAGCGTTCGCGTCGGTTCCTCCGATCGACAGTGTGCATTCGTCCTGAGGGAACTCCACTTCTGTCTCATAGTACAAAAACTCGGTCAGATCGCGAGTCATGTTCAGCTGCTCGTTCGCCTTCGGACTTACGACAACACGCGGGGCTTCTTGCGAGAGCGTTGACACTGGTTCATTCCAGTACTCAAACTCCAACTTCTCTTCACAATGATAGACACGATGCTTGTTCACAGGCTTCACGTTGTTCGTTTCAAACAGTACATTATCGTACTCATCCAGCACAATCATCGACCAGGCAGGCAGCTCGTACACGATATCGCGATAGATCACCTTATCGGCCGAGCCCTTGTTGTTCTCGACAAACGACACCAATCGATCGCCATATCTGTACTCGAACGCATTGCAGTTATCACAGTTCAGGTGCTTCTGGTTGTTCACCTGCGCCTTGTCATTCAGCAGAACCTCCGCAATATTCGCCAACATGCGGTGCATTTTCGCGGTGTGCGAGTGTTTCGGCTCATTCGGAAGAGTATCCGAGTGAATCATCACTCCGTTCGTGTACCAATTCGTCATTCCATTACCCGCCCACTTTCCGTAATGGTTTCCTCCGAACCACATGTAATAGTTGTGATACGAGCCTCCACGGTCCATGAATTTCAGCACGTTAAACGTGTAGTCCTCCGCAGAACGAGCATCCCAGCCCTCATAGTCGTCTCTCTCCGCGCTTGCAGCGCCATGAATCTGGAACCAGCCCTCGTTTTCGGTCCAGCAGCCAGGCTGATCCACCAAGATGCGGCCACTCTGTCCATGAGACTCAAGATAGCTCGAGCAATCATTTCCATTACAAGCATTGATTGTCTTCTCAGAGGTATCTCCGTTGCACATCATCCAAGGAACGTTCAACTCCAAAGACTCAGCAAACTCTCCACACCAGTCGATGTACTCCCTCGCTCCACCCCAGAGCTCGTTTTCGATCTGAGAGAAGATGATAGGACCACCGCGATCAGCAAAGAAGTCACGCGTGTAATCCGTAAGCACCTTCATCCAGTCACCCATCTCCTTCTTCCAAACATCGTTGTTCGCACGAAGACGGACACCGTCAAGATAGTTCACCCACACTGGAATACCTCCATTGTCCCATTCCGCACACACATAAGGTCCAATTCGCATGTTCACAAAGAGGCCGCGATCTGCGCACTTCTGGAGGAACAGTCGAATATCAGCAATTCCTTCCCAATTGTACTGACCTTTCACCGGCTCATGCAGATTCCAGAAAGTGTAAATCTGAATCAAATTCAGTCCATCCTCTACAGCCTGATCGAGAATCGTGTCCCACATCTCTGTACGTAACAAGAAGAAAAGAAAACAAACCTGGAGTAGCTCTTGGATAGTGGACAGATCCAGCCAAGAAAATACTTCTCTTTCCATCGAGGAAGAAGGATCGTTCGTCGTAGGTGACCTTATAGGGTTTACCTCTGAAATCGGTGTAGGCAAGGAATCCCGGTTTTCCTGTAACCTGGATCGAAGTTGCAATAGCAAGAAGCAAGATAAGTTGAAGCATACGAAAAAGATTATGAGAGGATAGCACGTTGTACAACACGATTGAGAGGAGCTGCGTTTATTATAGAAAAAATACTTAAGCAATTGTGTTGCTGGTAGATTAGATTCCGACGTGAGATCCTCGAATTGTGTTGCGACTGAGTTGAAAGGGATCAATTGGAAAGGAGGACTATGATACCGACATGTGCTGTATAGAGGGGTGGAGTAGGGCAATAGAATCCATGTTTCTCTCCGGGTGATTCAAAAGGTTCAGAGAAAAAGTCAACAATGGGATATAAGTTATAGGGTATGGAGTATAGAATAGAATAGTAATGATGATATCATTATATGGAAACAATGAGCATTAAGAGTAGAAATCTCGCTGTTTACGATGCTGTAGTAGCTTCCGGTGTAATAATATGGAAATAGTAGTGTAAGAGGGATATGAACGATTGGTAACTCTGTGACTAAATGAGTTAAGTAATGGAAGTATGGAGGACAGGAAATCACAAAAACAGTATTTAGTCTGAAAAGATAGAAACAAGGATTATGTTACGATCCTATCGATTTCTATGAATACAGGATATCAACACACATAAAAGAAGTGGATTTTGATGGATTCCGAGTAATGATTTGCTGAGTGGTAGTAACCGAATTGAAATGTTGAAGCAGAATGTCACAATCTTATTTTGAATGTAGAGAGTGTACTAATACTTACATATTACTATCGTTGTCTTTTTGATCTGATTTGTTTTGTGTACTAGACAGAAATTGGGCAAAAGTCTTGGTCGATTTACTCGTAGTGATGAGTAAAATAGAGAAAATAACAAGATTCGTACTTGTTCGCTGGATTAGTGGGAATACGTATTAGCATTCGATAGATTGCTCATTATGGTATTCTATTGTAGTTTTTAGATTGTTTCGTAAAGATACGCATATCCTATTGTTAGATTCAATACTGTTTTTCTTTCCTCTTAGTTTGTGCCATATCCCAGTAGCAATCTTCGTCCATCATTTTTACCAAAATCCACCATATAACCAATTTCAATACTCTATCCTCAGATCCACAGGTAAACATTCTCAAACAAACAATTCTTCTAGTAAAAAACACTCTACTCATGCTGAGCTCGGCTCCGTGTAATAGAGGACAACCGAATCATCGACTTCTCAAAACGACCAATACTGTAATTCTTTTGATAGATTTCCTAAGCCTCACAACCTTCCATCACGCTCACTTGCAAAAACTCTTCCTTCTCCTGCCTCGAAAAGAGCTTTTCTGGAATCGATCCAATGCTTGTTGACAGCAGATTCATAAAAATATCCTCGAAGGAATCATAAAAGCTCGCCAGAACACTCACCACCGTCACTCCCAGCTCTTTGATACGGCTTTCAGGAAGTCCTCCAATCAACGCTGCAATCTGCCACTTAGATTCACCCATCGCAAGTACCAGCTGATTCATCAAATCCTGCCCGCAAACCTGAAGAATCCGAAGAATCTGCGCTCGATAGTTGCCTTCTTTCGACACAATCTCTCCTTCTTCAGGCTTCTGCTCGCGTCCAAACATCAACAAGCAGTCCAAGTAGCGCAGAATGCTGCGATTCGCTTCACGATGCTGCAGCTGAATGCCTGCAATGGCCGCCTGCGTAATGCGAAGAATCACATCCTCCACGCTGAACATCACTTGAGGAATCGTCTGCAAAGATCGACCGCACAAATCGTACAAATCCTCCACAATGAACGGGTTTTGAGTGTAGGCATCAGGCGAAGAAGCCAGAAACGTCAACGTGGAGTCGCAGAATTCGGTGAGAATCTGATGAATGATGGACTGACAGCTAGAAATGAGGCGTTTCTCCGATTTCCACCTCTCATAGCAGCCGTATTCGCCGACAATCACGCTGCCACAATAGATATAGCTGCTGATGTGCGTCTGTCGGAAGCCTTCGAGGATCAAATTCGTCGTCGACTGAAGCAGCGAGGTGAATCGTGACTGGTTTTGCCGCATGAAGTATTTGAAGAAGCGGCAAATCGCCTCTACGACGTCTTCGTTCTGCCCGAACACCGAAAGAATCTCGCTGAACAGACCCCAGTTCTCTTCGAAATAGCTCACGAAGGAGACGGTCGTGCTGCTGTTCGGTCGAGCGACGTACCGAATCACCACCGTCATCAAATGAATCACCGTCACGAGCTCTTCCGCCGCGCCGTTCACCGCGTGCATCTCGCAGATCGTCCGGATGGAGGACTTGATCCAGTCGAGATAGAGAATGGCGTAGGAAACCGCTTGCTCTGCAGGCAGCATCCGAACGACGTTGCACAATCCTTCAAGAACCTGCGTTTTATTATCTCGCTGTCTGGCCTACGATGCATTTATCGGATCCGGTCATCTGCGCCGGAATTGTTTGATACAACTGAAGCAGTCGCTCTGTCCGTCAATTCCCTCTCCCAATTCGACCTGTGAATTCCATGTTTCGAATGATCGACGATGCGCAGTCCTTGCACACCGACAGAAACAAATCCACGCAGTCTCGCTGCAGCTCCGGATTCTCCACTTTCTGGAAGAAAAAGTTCAGAATCCGCTCCAGAAGCGCGTATTCATTGCGAAGAAGGCGGCAATACGTGCTCAGTAAACGCAGTGATGCTTGCTCAAGCGGCAAAATGGACGGTAACGCGAACACCACATCGACCACATGCAGTACGTCCTGCATCGTCAAATCGAAGGGCGTTCCGATGCATCGCAGCAAGTACAGCAGGCTCTCTACACGCTGCCACTGATTGCACTTCTCGGCATCGTTCATTTGCATGAACTAGAACTTCGTTTTCAGGATTGGCTCCCTACTTCTTGGGTCGCTTCATCGAAGGATTGCAGCACAAACCGAATCGCCACGTTTTCTCCCAGCAGCAAATAGCAGTTCTTCACAATTTCCTGCATCTCACTCGAGTATTCGAATCCAATACGCTCACCTCGCGACGTCTTTCTCGGAAGTTAAACAAATCGTCTTCGTTCATCTGCGCAGCGTCCTTCGCTTCAGCTCCACTCCACAAACCCAACCGAAGGGAATTTCAAATGCGGCAAGGAGGCGGTCATCAGCTGATACACCAGTTGATACACGGGCGTTCCAGGCTCGGGACTCTGCAACACGACGAGCAATTCTTCCCAGAAAGGCACACAGAGATCGGCAATATCGATCGAAGGGAAGGAATACAAGATGAACATCGTCTACTCTCAATCAAAACCCCGATCATTACATCCAACAACTCGCCTTTGTACGCATTGCTATCATCAATCAGAAGCGATAAACAGTCGTTTCCTAGCTGCGAATAGATCAACGTGATGCGACGACACATGTTGAAATCATGACTCGACACTGCTTCGATCGCCAGGGGTTTCATTCCGGCGATTTGTGGAAGAATAATGTCGATAACCGAAGTGTCTCGCGCGAGGTCCGAAAACACGGTCAGGACTTCGTTCAGTGCATCGCTACACACTTCAAAAAGCTCAGGAATGTGGATTGCCTAGAGAATCAAAGAGAGGAGGAAGAGTGCGACTTTGAAGAGAGAGGGAAGCAGGATGGTGGAACTCAATTCTTCGGCTGTGAAACTCCCGAGGCGAACCCACGCTTCGAAGCATCGAAACACGTTTTCCTGAAGAGAGTGAGCGAGAAGAGGGAGCATACAACGAGCTCTTCGTTGTCTGAAGAGGTTTGGAGAAGGTGATTTAGGTACTGAAGGACATTCGACGCACTCTGCTGCATGTCGGCCAGCTTTTCCTCGCGCTGCTTCTCGAAAATGGGAATCTAGCCATGAGCATCTCAAACGAAATAGTGGATAAATACCCGTCGACTTTGCAGCTCGATAGGGAGCAGACTGAGCACATTCAGCAACATGGTGTCGGTTTCGCTTGTTCCGATGTTCTGAACAGCTACATTGACAATGTCTGTAACGCCGGTCCATCGAATCAACAACGTAGCAATGACTAGGCAAATCTCGTTACGCACCGAAGTTGACGCGTTTTTGAAATGCTTGACTGCATCAAACAGCATAACGAAAAGCTGCTGAATCGTAGAATCGGGTAACTCGTTCAGGTCATATCGGATTTTGCTAAATCAATCAAACAACTACAGGAACATACTTGCAGAGGGTGTGTGCTCCGAAAAATACAACTAGCATGTTATCATCCTTGAGCAACTCGGAAGCGACTTCCCACGCTTCGCTCTGCTTTTGGAAATGTTGCAACCATTCATTTGCATTCCGTTGGACACTTTGATCCTTGGAATTGTACAAGAGCTAGTGATGATCCTTTCGGTTCGAATAATACGTTGATCGCCTGTTTCACATCCGATATATTGCCGTATTGCATGAGAATAAGATGGTGGCAATCGATTTTGGAAATGAGTGGCAAAAATAAGGGCTTATTTTGAGAATCGGTGTAACATAAATAGGAAGTTGTTTTTGAAACCTGATACGCTAGAGAATGTGCTAAGTTTCGTAGAATAGTGGAATTTACAATCAAAACAGTCTAATAACAGGAATCCTTGCCTGAATTGTATTTCCACTACTCTTTTGAATTCTTTACGGCGCTTCATCATTACTATTGATTTCTCGCCATCCAATCCTTTTTCTTTCCTGCGTATTATTATCGTTAACAAACAGCACAACAATAACCTCATTATTCTCTCCTTTTAGACACTGCCAGATGACTAAGCAATATTCTTCATAATTCCTTCTATCTCTGCCTTGTGAAAAATGTCTTCGCATTCTGTTAGAACTCCATCTTCACTTGTCACTTCCAGTACACCGTTCTCTACATCGAATGCATTCGGCGCTTGCAAATTGAGAATCGAATCGGCCAGATGCAGCGGGTTCGCATTCCACACCATCTCAGGCAAGAAATGACTGAACATGTTCAAATAGGAACCGATTCCAATTCCCACAGCTCTCACCTTCATCGATAGCATCGCACTCTGGATCTCATTTCGGACTCTGTCGGCCGTCACTCCGTTGGTAAACACCAACATCACAGTCGGCATATCTCTCAATGCACACGTCGATCCGGCCACTTTGATCGTATGAGCAATCGATGTGGGTGAGTAGGGATTTAATGAGGCTTCATAAATCGGATCAAGAATGCTGTTCGTCCATAGCTGATCGGCAGAAATGCCTGTAGCGACGCGTGTTGTTTGTTCATGAGCGAGCCATACATCAGCGCACGCAATGCCCATCGTGCTGAGATTGCGCAGAACGGAAAACACGGTGAAAAGAGCGTGCTGGCGATTGAGAAGCGAGAACGCCCGCGACGAGCAGTCTATCACAATGCTCACAGCAGAGCGAGGACGGATGGTAGGAATGCACCAGTTGAAGAAGTCTCTCGTAGAACTAGCGAGAGACTGGTGATGTCGCAAGAAGGACACACTTCGGCCCTCAGATGCATACACGACATGAGACGGAATGGGAGGGGAAAGCAGAGTGGTGTAAAGCGCGTCTACAAGATTGTTGGAAGGAATCGGACTTTTTATGGAATCGATCAGATTGATAGTCTGCTCAACTGGCCTTATGCATTTGTCCATTTCAGACACGACAGGGAGGGCACTCATCATGTTTTGAGTTTCCAGACCATACACACGAGCCATCGACTTCGTGCAAGGCCATTCTTCAGGGAACGTATCAATCCATTCCCAAGACAGTTTGGGAGCCGGACTCATCTGGCAGTCTCTGTTGATCTCATCGGAAACCTTGGTGAAGGGAAGTTCTCCTAGTTTCCTCGCATGCTTCAACAAGTCGGTTGCCGTTTCAATATCAAATCGTTTTTTGCCATTATCGAACTTCCTATTGAGCTCTTCGTTGAGATGGCTGATGTCTTCTCTGCTACAAGCTTTCGAAGTCTGAGTGAGGAAGAACAAATACATATTGGGATAAGAAGCTAGAGCATTTGTTATTTCATTAGGTCCTGAGAGAAGCTGCTTACAGAACCCGTCGCTCACAATGAAGAAAAAGTCATCACGCTTAAAACGACCCTCAACGGAAAGCAAATCCAACGGTGATGAATCCACTACCTTCAAAAACTCCATATCGACGATCAGTGAGTACAAATCTTCCATGTTTCTTTTTGGACTCACAATCTCAGCCACTTTATATCGTCCACAAGATACAAATAGATGATACTCAAATCCGCATTCCACACAGAGAGTTACCAAAACAGAGGTAACGATGGATCGGACGCGACGAGTGTGACGATTCATCGAGCAATTCGCGTCAACGATAATATCAATTGTCGATGTACACTTGTCTTTTAGCAGCTTTTTCATCTGTATCACCAATTGAGAGGAGAGTGAGTAGATTGTGCGAAGAATCGGCTGAGGCAGCTTCTTCTCAGATGGACTCACATCAATTCTTTTAATCTCGATCATCTTCGATCGACCCGCTGCTCGATCGGTCGCATTTGTTTCATTTCGTCTTTCGTAAATATACTGGAATTGCTCGACGGTGCTCATCCCTGTCATGTTGGAGAATCGGCTTGTCGTTGGCTGATACTGCACTCTGTCTGTGCGATTCCACTTCAATGCATGCGATTGCTTCAACGTCTCCAGGACCGTTTCCGCTTCTTTCTGAAGTGCATGACAAAGCTCTGTATCCTCTGCACTATTCTGGACAATTTCCAACAGTTTTTTTCTCTTATCTTCTTGATCTGTACACAGAATAAAGCTCAGAATGTACGAGAAATGATGCATAAACTTGTTGACATCCTTGTTCCGCAAAGAATTAATGTATCGCGATATGTCATTGTAGAGAGCAGGATTCGTCGTGACTGCATTTCTTGCTGGATGCGAAACCTCCTCTTTGCCGTAATGGAAAACAATGGTGAAACTTTCACGAGCCGAAACAACTCTTGGTCCACAGTACTTTGCCTCAACTTCGAGTTTCAGTACATTATTCTTTTCTTTCTTCTCTTTTACCATCAACGCAAACCCACCTTCCTTCTGAATCACATTACAATCTTTGCTCGTCAACCTCACCGTTAGCAAGCTATTTGTTCGAACTAACGGAAGCCAAAGCTCGTTGCCATCTCGTCCAATCACATTATCAGGAGCAACGTATTTCTTATTAACAGGAAGGGCGAATGAAACTTGTTCCCCGTCAAATAAGACAAAGAGTGCATCATGAAGCGTTAATTTAATATTGGGATAAGCAGCCAGTCTAGATACACTGGGTAAGTAGTATTTCATGAAGTTATCTCTAAGTTCTTCCTTTTTATGCAATCGATCGTTGATTGTTCTTTCTTCTGTTTGAAGAGTTGCAAGCCTTTCTTTTTTCTCCTGTACAGAGTTTAGCATTCCATTATAGCTATGAATGTCATTCGTAAAATTAGCAATGAGTGGTTCTTGGTTAACAACTGCAATAGGCTCTAATAATCTGGGAATAACCAAAAGGTTGTTAATCGTCCAGTGCATATAGATCGTATTGTTGTATTTTCGAATCGGAAGCAGATCGTCTCCATTCTTTATATAATCACAACCAATTTCAGAACTTGATCCTGAATTAAACAGTTTAAAATGATTCTTGTCAAAATAGAATGAATGGATCTTGGTATCAGCAGATGGATGCATACTTTCATAATACGTAATTATTTCGCTTTCTGTTAGATCCGGAGTTTCATATTGGAATTTGGTGATACGTTGCAAATTAATCATGCACTGCAGCAGCTTTAACAGATAGAGCATTTCCGTATCACTCTGGCATTTCCCAAACGGTGAATACTTGACCTTTCTTAATTCCTTGGTATCAGAATAATAGTACAACTCCAAGTAAGGACTTGTTGCATTTACAAAAGGATCAAAAGGTAATGATGAAGGATTGGCAGGAGTAGGAGATCCACGACGCTTTATAGCAACAGACTTAGAAAGATCTGTACTAGCAGGAGTGGATCCAGTAGTGTTTGTTCCAGTAGAAGATCCAGGTGGATTTGCACCAGCAGGAGTGGATCCAGTAGGGTTTGTTCCAGTAGAAGATCCAGGTGGATTTGCACCAGCAGATGGTTTACTCCGTTTAAAGAAAGATAAAAATCCACGTCGTTGAGTAGTCGAGGTAGGTTCAGAAGGATTAGCACCAGCAGATGACCTGTTTCGTCTAAAGAAGGATAACAATCCACTTCGTGAAGGAGTAGAAGAAGCAGGAGGAGGAGGAGTAGAAGAAGCAGGAGGAGATGAAGGAGAAGCAGGAGGAGATGAAGATACAGTGGAATTCATTGCAGATGGAGATGCAGACAGATTTGTACCAATATTAGATCCAGCACCATTGTTCACAATCGAGGTCGGATCAATATCAACCTCATATTCCCACTTAAACGGGGCATAAGGAAGAACGAAAACATATCCATTATGATACTCCAATACTTGTTTCAGCACTTTTGAACTAATGCTGATCGTAAAGTCCTTCGCATATTCATCCATTCCTTCAGGTGCCTTAACTTTGATTTCTCGGCAACGAACATTTTTCGATACCCAAATCATCTGAATACAAAAAGGCTTGAATTTTTTCTCAAACGGAAAAGCACCAAACATTTTTCTCTTCATCGATAGCCATTTATCCATGTTAGAAGACACTCCTTCTTTCGTTAGGTTGTTCACAGCCATCATAAAACTACACATCTCAAGAGTTCTCATTCGTTTAACACTGCTCGTGTTTAGCTCCAGGACTACATTTTCACATTTATCAAAAATACTATTCTTTAGTTGCGTTGCTTCATTCTCACTATTGCGTAAATCGTTCTCTGCTTCTCTAACTTCATATTGCTTCTCATTCAGCTCATTGTTGATTTCATCATAAGCTTGCTGGAAGCTATCACGAAGTAATTTTATGTGGCAGTTCATGACACTTTCAATCGAAATTCTGACACTATGCAAGGCCCAC